GCGTGTGTCGCAAGCACGTTTGTAAAAGGTTTTCATCCTGTTGCGTTATGGTAGGGATCTGCTTGTTTCCTACAGAGAAAAAGTTGGAACTAGCTGAAAGGGACTTGCCCAATGCATGGCCACTCGTTGTAGATGTCGTACTTTGCTGCGTTCTGTAAAGCTGATTACGCTCCAGTGTTACTTTCAGCTTTTCCAGTAAGAAGTTGTAACAGTGCACTTAATCTCAGCATCGTCTTTTCAACCGTTCCTTACAAATGTGTACGTGTAGAAAGAAATGTCAGTTATTTCCCCGTGTGATGTTTGTGCTGGTTTCATCAGTTTGGCTTTTTGAAACACAGAGCTCAAGGCGTGTAATCCCAAGGTTCTTTGGCTGCACTTGACAGCCCGGCATGATTGGCTCAACATTTGTGCGTGGATTGAAGAATCTGAGCTCAACCAGCCTTTGTGCGGAGAAGCTTGCTGGCCCCCTCTCACTCCAGACGTTATCGACCGGAACATGTTGTGCAGCAGCTACATGAGAAATGATATATTGAACAAGCTGGCCAGGTATCTGCCCTTAAAGCCTTATTCTAACTTCCTGTCTCCTGTGAAGCCAGAATCAAACAGGTACAGGAGGACATGTTAATAAAATCTTTGATACCTGTCAATTTTTACGTCACGCCCTTTTTTGAAGCAGCACAAATCTACTCCTACATTTAATTTTAGTCTTGTGCTTGCACATTTCCATATGCAAAAGCAGTGAGAAACAGGAGCGCAATAGAGATCCGTGATTGTTCGTAGTGGTTCTGTTCCTGATGCCCGTTTTAGCGCAAGGGAGAGAATTCTGAACACGCCACATTTCACAGTAACTACGCCATGGTTTGAGCACTAACAAACATATTTTGGGATGCTGTGCTTGCCTCAGTAATGAAGCAATTCCCTAGAAGGAAAGGTCTGCTTTGTGCCCCTGAATTAAAAACACCCTTCAGAACTCGTTAGAGAGAGAACTATATAATCAGTGCACATTCTTTTTCTCTTTTCTGTTAGAAATGGAATTTTTGTCCCTTCTGAGATGGAAGATTTTGAACTTCTGCTCCAAAGACTGTCCTACCTTGGGGGAGTCCTGCAAACCCCTCACCCTGCTCCGAAGCACAGCGCTGCGAGTGGCTTGGACTTCCACACTCGTTTTGTCCTTCACTGCTTAGAGCACAATCTGCAGTATCTGTTGTACACTTATCTGGATTATTACAGGTACGAATGCTTTTTGTCCCTCAAATTTCACACGGATTTAAATAATTAAATGCAATTTTAGTAGTTGGCAGTAAGAGTTTTCCTCCACCCTTCCCGTCTGGTGAGGAAGACTATTTGGGTCATAAAACTGTCGTTTAATGAAAAGCTGTGGGGCGGAGTGTTGGGTTTCATGCTGCATTTTGAAGCTTTGTTCAGGTTGTCTCGGCAATATTAATTTGTGTGTCAGTCATCAAAGGAAACAGTTATGGTTGTAATTAGTAGAACGTTACAAGCAGTGCAATCCGAAGTGAGCCAATAGCTTGTTCTTCAGAAACTCGTGACTTGAGCACCAGTGCGAGTTCTTTCCTGATACGTTCCCAAATAAAGAGTTGGCTGGTTTCTGCCTAAATTGGGATTAGCTGGGATTTGAAGGAGAAAGCGGTATTAGGCATTGGGACTATATGAATACTTTCTACTTAATGAAGACTTGGCAGTGAGAACTCCAGCCTGACATTAAACGTGAAAGTGGATGAGAAGAAAGCCAACAATTATTATTATTTTTCTATTTGTTTGTATAGTTAATTTTAATATAGTTAATTTTAATTTGCATAAAATACTTAGACTATATAGAGCGATACCTGGGATCCAAGACCCTTTTTTGGGAACTGTTGTAAGATCTGGAAACTTACTGGGATTTACAGAAGCAGGCTAGCAGAGAAGCAGTCTTAAGGGAGGGAACTCTTGAGAGATGCCCTGTCAGCTAAAGCTGCGCTTCCTGTAGCGAAGGGTGTTGGGCTTTGACTCTCGCTGAAATAATTCATTGCAGAACCAAGACAGATGCTCTCAGTTTTTAATGCCGTGTTATGCCAGGCCAGAAGATGGTTACAAATCCTGAGTTTTCACTGTTCTGCTCTTATTTCCAGTTTAACTCCTTCCAGTTGCCCTATCTTGGATAACAAGGAATTGCACGAGGCACATCCCTGGTTTGAATTCCTCGTGCAGTGTCGAGGGGTTGCCAGTAATCCACGAGGTAGGAGTCCGGCCTCGCTCGGGTCCCTTTGCACCGAGAGCTGGGGGTTTGGCACAACTGGCTTGAATTCTCTGCTCCAATCTTTTTTTTGGACCACAGCAAATCATTTCCCTCTTCCTCATCTCTAAAATGTGGATTAAAATTCCTGTATGTAAAGATTCGGAGATTGTAGATACGTGAGAATTATTTTGTGTGTGGTCATCGTTACCTCCAAGGTGATTGAACCCCCAGCAGGTTGAACAGAAGGAGAATTTATTAGAAAATGCATATACTTATTAAAATTAAAGCTTCCTTTAGTTCTCTAGTGCTGCATGTTGACTTCTCTGCCCTCGGGTTATGTTTGCTTTTTTGTTGTTGCTATTGTCATTGAAAATCAGTAACATTTGTGCCCTTAACTCCTTTCACTTTTTTTTTTTTTTAAAAAACATATCATCTTTTGTAGAGTCACACATTAACAAATGACAAAAATAAGCCCAAGTGAAGCTTTTTCAGAAAGTATGATCAGTATAGGATAAAGAGTTGGACCAGTACGATGTTAAACTGTGGGACTCAGTCCAAATCAATGTGTGTAGG